TAACTCCTGTGGTAATATAGCCCAAAATGTGATGTACACACATGTGGGCACCAGGTCTTAGGAGGTTAATATGAAATTTAACCTCAAATCATTCCTTTGCTAACTAACAAAGCAATATCAAATTAAACAGGACACAAAACTAGGCAGAGGTTTGACCTCAAAAGGTAAAAAATAAGTTTTAAATGTTCAGGCACATGTCTGAGAAAGTAACCAGGTTATAACAAATGTTGACTTCTTATCTGTTTAAAGTATATCTGTAACCACTGGACTTTCATTATATTATCCCAGCAAGGTCTTTTAATCAGTGAAATGATTGATTGTTTGATTAAGTGTACTGGACGTGAGAGCGGTGTGTAAAGAGGAAACCCTTAAAGCTGCTTTGTCATGGGAACTTTCTCCACATTTTGCAGCGAGAGTTCCTTTTAGAACCAGATATCTGTCAGGGGACAAGCTGTAAACTGTCTTCTTGAGAGGATGATGCTGCTCACATGTTCTGTGGTCAGCGAGAGGAAAGTCCAATTACTGTCTAACTGGTCAGCTGCAGCGACCCCCTTATTTGTTAATGGGATTTGAATTTTGTCGATTGGGATTTCAGCACAGCAGTTCTTCGCTGTACACACCGAGAGCTGACTGTGAGGAGAAAAAAACAAAGCGCAGCACTCTGAGGATGAGCCTTTGATCACACTAATTAAGAGTGATGTGCGTGCGTGTTTTGCTTGCTCGTGTTCGCAAATGTGCGAGGGAACAGATAGAGGTGTCACAATCTATTTGACGGCCAAACTCTAATTACTGTAACACATCATCAGGACGGCAGAATACAAATTGTGCAGGAAGCATTGGATTGCCACCTTGAGCTTGTCATTGACGTTCACGGCCGATTATGTTTGATGGAGAATAATTGAAACTAAAGTGTACAGGGAGGGGACGAGAAAGAGAGAGATGTGGCTCCTTGAATCTCAATGAGATGCTCATCCAAGTTGTCTGCACACTGTAAAATAAAAAAAAAGATTTAAAAAAAAAAAATCTGAAAATCTGGCAGCAACAGAGTCAGAAGAAATACACTGAAAAACTGAGGAGTACTGTAACGTTTAAACACTAACAATGGTGAAAATAAGGCAAATATCTGTAAAATAATAGAGGAAAACAGTTCAGTGTTATGGTTGTAAAAGAACAAATGAGTATTTTTTTTTTTTTAAAGTGCAGATTTTTGATGTTTTGCTGTGTTTTTAGTTTGTTTGGTTTTTTTCTCATTACAGTCACCATGTAAATTAATACCTTATATCTGTGATTTTTACTATGTACTATCTGTAGTTATACCACAAGGAAAATCTGTACAACTGTTTAAAAATCCATACCAATGATACTAATAATAATAACAAACTGATGCATTTTTTGCTGATTTAAATACTGTATAAATAGTGTAAATTCATGGTCAAACATAAAACTATCATTCATAAAAGTACAGATTTTTTTTGTGGATCTTTTGTTTGTTTGTTTTTGTTTCTCCCATAGACATTTTCCTGTGATTTCACCATGTTGCCTCTATAATCTCACACAGGGAATAGATTTAGATTTAGATTTAAATAGTTTTTTAAAATGATGTAATTTCATGGTCAAACATGAAAGAACAAATTTGTAAAAATACTAATTTTTGATGTACTCAATGATTTTTCTCTGATTTAACCAGTTATTATCTGAACTTTAACAAAACAGGGAACATTTGTAAAGTTACAGTTAAAAAAAATCCATTTTAAAATCCTTAACATACAGATTGGTCTCTTTTTAAATAATGGTAAATATCTGTCAAAAATAATGGCATTTATTGCTAATTTAAATAATGTAAAAAATAGTGTAATTTCATGGTTAAACATAAAAATAGAAAACAACATTTGTAAAAATATAGATTTTTGATTTATTAATTGATGTTTTAATACTTTTACTCTGTGATTTTGCGAGTTATTATTTGTAATTTAATAAAATATAAAACATCTGTTAAACACCTAAAAAAAAACATTTTTCAGTCATTAATATACATATTTTGTCCTTCAGATACCAGCAAATGTCTGCAAAATATTTTTTTTGCTGATTTAAATAATATAAAAATACATATTTTGCTTTACTAATTGATACATTTTTTTCTGTGATTTTACCAGTTATTATGTGTAATTTACCAAATCAATGAAAATCTGTAAAATGACAGTAAATTATTCAAGAAAAAAATAAAGCCAAAAACCGCTAACAAACGAATCATTTGTGGATAAGCTGTCGATGTTTCCATGTGCCTCACTAACAGCAGCTGTTTCTCTTCTTCCATCTTGTTCCTCCTGCAGAATCAAACTGCACCTTCTTCAAGTTTTTTACCACGGGGGAAAACACTGTGATGTTTCAGAAGACAACACAGAAAAGTGAGTCATGCACCTTTATTACCTCTCTTGGTCCACCTTAACAGCCCACTCCCATCCCTCATGTTCTCCCCCACGCCTCCGTCCCTCCCTGGGCCCTCTTTGCCTCCTTCTCCTCTCTCTGGCCTCCCTTCAGTCTCTCTCTACCACCATCCATCCCTTCGTTTCCTCTGCGTCTCCCTTCACCTCCTCGCCACGCTCTTTCAGGTTGGCTATTGTCTGCTCTGTGAGTGTTTGAAATGTATTCCGCCTACGCCGCGTTCAAGTGTCTCTGAGCTGCAGTCTAACCTCTCATTTCACTGGCAGCTTCATAATGTATTAAGATCACACGGTGCCATACGCTGAATGAGGAAAGACAGACATACATAAAATCTCATTGTTCGCTGGTGGCACATCGCTGTCACACCACAGGCCTCAGTGCAGTGATTTAATAAATACAGTCCAGAGTGTGTAAAATAACGAACTCGGAGTGCTACTGCAAAGCCCACTTGATCCAAATCTTTAACTGAAGACGACTTTTTTTTTTCTTAAATCACTTTCATGTCCTTGCGTTGAACAATTTTTAGGCCTAATCGCGTATGACCTTCTGAAAAACAGCTAAAGTTGCAGTTGTATTAATACTCAGAACTCCAATTTATACTCAGAACTTTTAGCTCCCGTCACATTTTTACTCAATGCGAGTTCATTTTTTACTGCAATATAAAGTCCTGTACCTCGATGGAAACAGCACAACCATGGCTAGAAGAAGAGAGAGCTCAAATGTGTTGTCTATGCAGTATGACACAGTGTTTTTAACTTCTT